TTAAATTTTATTACTTCTGAGTCATTTAACGTAGTCGAATAATCAAACCGAGCTCAATAGCTCGAAGATAGCTAACAAGCTCGTTACAAAGAAAGTACTAACTCGGCACAACTAGTTGCCCAGTCTTACAAATCACCCGTACTTTATTTTTACTCATCGTAATCCTGGCCAGGTGAACGATAATGTACGCGCTCTTTTATAAGTGTTTTGATCAAATAATCTACACAAATTCGATTTCCCTTGGATAAGGGATGATTATATTCTTCCCATAGGATATGATTTATCTAAGAAAATTAAGGCGGAACTCAGAACTCTCTAAGGTCATGGCCCAAAAAACATTTATGTAGTTTTACATTCTTTATAGAGGTATAACGATCTAGGTTAGCTTCAAATAATAACCACAATTAAGGTAGGCAGATGAAGCTTTCTGAACCAAATCTCAATTAGCCTAAAACAACTCGAAAAGCTCTAGACTAATCATAATAGAAAGGAAACCTTTCTTCGGTATTTTTCTCTCATCAGATTAGGTCAAATAATGCTTTTGGGTGAAAAAGTCAAGTTGCTTACCCAACAAGTTAGTTGAAGAGAGAGGGGAAGAGTGGAGAGATACTAAAAACGTACGACTTCTTCAAAGTCAAAACGTCAGCTGAACAAAGCCAAACCAATCATTACTACCCAAAAAATATATATTTAAACTTAGTAATACAATAAATACTCTCCGTCATGATCAAACGTGACAAGCAGCACTTCACCCAAATAATTTATTTATTTTTCGTGTAATGAATTCTTCCCTTCTTCGCTAGCCTTCGATCTGGAGTTCAAGAGATGATCCACAGACTAACACAGCCAAAAAGGAAAGGCCCTTCACATCATGTCAATCCGAAAGAGTCCGATCTTGGCACGTCATCATGCGGTCTACGTACTATTGTTGTTTGTTCTCCAAGTCACAGGCCAGCAGCCGCCGGGAACCATCGGTCAATATGGTCCCCAATTAAGACCAAACCACGTACCTGCGGTAATCATTGGAATGCTTATGTTCACTCTCTTATTCAGCATGCTTGCTTGCTGCGTTTGCTATAAATACACAAACACATCACCTGGAACAAGCTCCGATAC